ATTAAAAAACGTCAAAAAACTCACATTTTCTATATGGAAGAAAAACACTAGATTTTTCCCATAAAATTAGCTTTTTTCATTATTTCTACTACCTCACATGTTTCGAAATATATTCAATAGATGCAACGTGGAAAACTGAATCGAATAAGTGTATTTTGAAATATGCGAGGTAGTAGAAATAATGAAAAAAGCTAATTTTATGGGAAAAATCTAGTGTTTTTCTTCCATATAGAAAATGTGAGTTTTTTGACGTTTTTTAATGCATGCAATTTCTCGAAATTTCTTAAGTTCAACATTACAAAGTTTACAAAACCCTTACTATTTAGTACCAGTAAATCTCATTTTTGACGAGCTTTCATTTGGTATAAAATTCATTATATACTCCTGGAATAATATTATGTCCTATGGCGGAGCACGCCCATATATATATATTTTTTTTCTCAAGAATAAAAATAAAATCTATTTGTAGGTTCTTTGGCGTAGTTTATATTTACGTTTTTACGAAAATCAAAGACCTCAACATGAAGCTTGGGATGAATATTTAATTATTAAAGAAAAAGAAATACAACTTCGTTCATATGTCAATAAATTAAGACAGTAAACATATGAAAAAAAATTTTTATTTTTGTTTTTGATATAAATTAAATTATACTTGTTTATTTATTTTTTTTTATAGAGAATTACTTGAACTTGAACGAAAATGTACGGAAAAAAATAGCAATATGATTAAGATAGAAAAAGATACAGTCACAACAACTTAAACTAATTTGAGATTGAATGTCTTCCTTTTCGTTTTTTTTTTTCTTTTCTTGATTTTATTATTATTATTATTATTTTCCTTCCTTCGATATATATAATTACTATTATTATTACTATTGACCAATCAATCATAGTCGACCTTGTTCTAGTGATTTTTTTTGTTTTTTTTTTTGTACATTAGTGTGTTTCATTATTATCGAGAACAAATAAATATACATTTATGTCATATAAAATGAAGTCTGTGTATCTTTATCAAAGAATAATCAAATGTCCTTCTTGACTTTATATATATACTATATTTAATCATAAAATATATACATATGGTTGAATGTTTTTACAAGTATAAAAGAAAAAAAAGAGCATGAACTTGTCCCGCTGTAGGGCGTCCTTCACTAATTTGTGTCCAGCCAGTATACTTGTTCATCGTTTCTTTTCTTTTCTTTTCTTTTCTTTTTGTAATATAAGGATGCCGGTAATTGTACAACTTACTAAAGAATACCATTTCTTTTTCGACTCATATGGTGATTTGTGGTATTTTATATGTACTTTTTATATTGCGGATAGAAATATAAAAAAAAAGACGAAAAATTTCTACCTTTAAGGTTATAATCGAAAAAGAGGGAGGAGAAAGAAGAGGCCTTTTTTTTAATACTCATATTTCTTCTTCGTCTTCTCGATCCGTCTTCATTGTATGAACAACGAGTGTGTGTGTGCACTCACAGATTATTTAAGAGGATTAACTTTGCTATCTAACAATTGAGATGCCAAGTGAACAAGTCGAATGGTTTATGAAACAATCAGTACATGATAGTGATAAAATACATGCTCAACAAAGTTGTACTTATTATTCAATTGTAAATGTCAATAAAACAAACAATCCATATTTGAGTTCATATGAACAAGAACAAACATGGACATTAACACGAACAATATCAAATAATCATAAACGATATCAATCATCAATAGAAAATATTCATTTAACAATGCCTATTTCATCATTAAAAACTAAACATCCTAATTATGAAAATATTAATATAAGAAAAAATCGATCTATTTCACTTTTACCATCACAAAAATATACATCATTATCAGCAGTTCATTCTTCTTCTTCTTCTGCTAATAGAAATTCAATGGTTCATCAAGAACAAAAAATTTTACCAATAACAAACAGTACTTTAAATTCAAAAGTCAATTCAAATTTAAAAAATTCACTTTCATTAACCAAATCTATGCGTACCATTCCTGCTAGTGGTGACTTTGTTGTACGAATCTGAACGATTATTTGCTTTTTTTTTTTTGTATTTAAATTCATCAAAATAGAAAAAACAATTCATTTCTTATTATCGTCAAAGTGAAGTTTGATTGCTTTAGGATTTTATTCTAATTACATTATTTTCTTCTATTCTTTTTCTTTTGCATTGAAACAAAAAATTATTTCTACCTTGCTTGTATTCCTTATATAAACTTCTTTGTTAATATTAATGTATGATTTTAAATATAATTTGAAAATAGATTTGCTTTTCACATTATAATGGCATGATCAAGCGTTAATCAATATCATGTTTTTTGAAATTGTAATATCTATTTCTTATCAATGGCACAAACAAATTCCTTCAAACATTTATTATAGATAAAGACTATATAGAACTACTATCAGTTAAAATTTCATTGATTATTCTTTTAGCTGAAGTTAAGCTATTTAACAAATACAGACCGTTATGAAATTTCAAGAAGTGGATTTTTTGTAGTAGAGCTGAGAGTTATGCACGTTACTTCGAAACGAAGTGACATACGAATAAACTTTCTATATAAAAGTTGTTTAGATTTTAACACACTTACACAATATCAAGTTATTTCTTAACAAATATAACTGCGTCCAATAATAAACTAAAAATAGTGTTCGTTATTGAATTTCGTCGTTTTTTCCGAAAATCATCTTTTGAACCAGACTGAAAGCAAATAATAGCTAATACCAACAAAATATTCATCATCAACAGTGCAAAACGTTTAATGATCTAAAAATACCGTACAATTCAGATACTGATGAAATTCTGTCATACAATATTTCCAGAAAATAGATGCAGATATTAAAATGAAACGGCGCTGAAAATGGATGTGTTCGATGAAGTTTGTTGAATTCTATCTGGAAATGTTGTTTTTACTGCGAAAATTAGTGATATATGCTAGTAAAATACACTCTAAGCGAATTTCGTTATGAAATTTCATCAAAAACAGAGATGATTTTTAAATGTGTTATCTTGATTCGTCGATATGTAACATTTGTACGAAATTTATATGTTGAAAGAGTACTTCGTATCTGTGATCGATCGTTGTTTGACGATGTATTTCACTC